TTCCCGCCAACATTTGCTTGCTTGTCAATGCCAGTGTTTTGAAAGAAAATGTGAGAAAAGTCACTATTTCATTTGCAGAACTTCGCTATGGAGAAAGCGGTGGATTATTTTGGAAGCAAACAGCTCCCGCAAACTAAACTTGAACGTGGATTACTTTGTATACTTGATAGGCCGTGGATTTCCTTTTTTTTGCGAGTATTCTTTCCGATTTTATGTATCCAAAATTTGACAAATGTAGGATTTGATGGAAACTTGTGGAGAGACACGTCCGCCGGTAAATAGGAATTATTTCTACAAAAAGGCACACTACACAATCACCATTGTTAGGAAAAAACTTTGAAAAAACCGAGGAAATAATAGTTTCCAGTTTCCACATGTACAAAAGTCTTGTCAACAAACCACTGTCAGCGGCTGTCAACCGTTGTTTTCATACTCTTTTGGCATCTGACAGTTTGACGCCAGAGAGAGAGGCTTTTATATTGAAAAGGTCAGTTGCCGTTTTTCTGATGGTAATATCTAATATCATGTATACAGGGTGACCCAGAAACAAGTTGTGACAGCTAACTTTATTTTTTTAAATGAAAACATTAACACATTAAACAATAGACACATTTAATTTTCATAAAATTCGCCAATACTATAGTATGCCTTGGCGACTAGATGGTTCTTTACAAGCTTTCTAAAATTTTCATAAGTACCACTATTCGTAATTCGCTGTGTCTAGAATCCCGGTACCGGTAACACATTTTTTACCAGTAGTTTTGACGCCGTCACCCATATGAAAGACCTACTAGGTACCCGGGATTTAAGCAAATCCCGGTAAAAAAAGGTTAGTCATTGCTCGAGTCGTTGGCAGTTTCTGTTTCGCTGTGTCTAGAATCCCGGTACCGGTAACACATTTTTTACCGGTAGTTCTGATGACGTCATCGATATGACGCACTTGTACCGGGATTTAAGTAAATCCCGGTGTTTTGATTTTGTTTTTATCGTTATTTATCAGCTGATTGGTATTTTAGGTTAATTTATTAATGTTTTCGTAACTTTTTTGAAACAATTCAAACTATAAAAGTTAGTTTAGGTTCGAAATACCTTATATAAAATGATTTGCGTTCGGAAATGTTGAACAACTCATCCCAGATTAGAAGTAATCTGCAATCGGATGATAGTAAACTAGGGTTGTTATTCCCGAAAACCCCTGAGAATTTAAACGAATTTGAAATGATGTCACTTTATATAGCAGTTTATAATCGGATTTAATAGATATTTATTAATTTACTTCAAGCAATATATGTAACTATACTGTTTAGGATGTAAATTAAAATAAATATCTCTCATTTTTTATTTATAAGTTTACAATCAGAACAATAGGTACCACATTTTGGGTATTTTATGGCCATTTGCACGGCTATCACTTACGGGATATTTGACCTAAGTGAAGCTTTCAATGCGACTTCTGTTTCTACAAGGGGCACATTTAAAGCTTCACTTGGATTAAATATTCCTTGAGTTATGGGGTGCAAATGGCCGTTACACAAACTGGCACATTTCACATGTCAAAGTCTCTTCAACTTCTTTATAACTTTTAAATGTTTAGGCATTTTTTAGCGAGATCCCAGTAATAACCATTTATAACCGGTGCGGTTATACACGGTAACACTCCCACTTCAAAAATATATCCCTACCATTGGCAAATTTTTAGGATTAAACCGCTTCTCGCTAAAACAGAACGGTTATACATATTTCTCAGTAAAGTGAGTTTAGTTTATATTTTGTGGTAAACATAAAGGAAATGAAGTCAATAATTAAGTCCTTATTACTAATTGACGATATTATGTTTGAAAGCACCCGCCTGTATATTCTAATTTCTAAGTCTTATCGAGTCAAGTATAGTGGTGTCCCTTGAAATGTATACCTAACCTATTGGGAGAAAATCATGAGAGACAGCTTATAGACCATAATGCGTGATCTGCTATTTTTTGATATCCTCTAATAACAAAAATAACTCAGAAAAAAACACATCAAAACAATCACAAATTAATCTAAGGTTAGAATTCTTCAGTTACTCAACTCTCGACTTGGGTATCAAAAACAATAACCGTGTTATAGAATGATGACGTCACTTTATGACAGGAAAACACCTTCCCCTATTACCGTTTTCTCGCAAAAACGGATCGGTTATTGATTTCCTGTAACCGCTTGTAACACGGGAACTAACGGGAACTCGCTAAAAAATGCCTTTTGTCCTACATTAAAAACCATTTCAAAAGTAATTTCACGTTGATAAACTCACGAAAACACTCCACTCTACGTTCACACATCAACAAACCAAGTTAAAAACATGAAAAGTTAGGTTAAGTTGGACTTTGATAAAGCAAAAACCGCCAACGACTACATTTTTTACCGGGATTTGCTTGAATCCCGGGTACCTAGTTCGTCATATAGGTGACGGCATCAAAACTACCGGTAAAAAAAGTGTTACCGGTACCGGGATTCTAGACACAGCGTTCTTAATTTCCTCAGGCAGATGGTTGAACATTTTAATACTCTCATAGATAATGGACTGTTTTGTTAAGGCGTACTTTGGTAATGGTAAGGGTAATTTGACTTGACGCAGATTATAACTGCTATTCTGTACAAAACTAGAGAACTTCTTATAAATCAAACTCACAGATTCCAAAACAAAAATACAAGGCACCGTCAATATCCCCTCCCGCCTAAATAATGGTCGACACGATTCCCTGCATCTCCTACCACACAAGTAGCGGACAGCTCTTTTTTTGCAAAACAAACACCGATTGAACTGATCTCTGAGTTGCAAACCCCCAGAAAGCAATGCCATAGCGTATATGTGACTCTAGCAGCGAGAAGTAAGTACATATACAATTTTCGCCGCGTCCTTACCAAGCTCCTGAAAAATAGTTCTGACAATGGGTGGTATGAATAAAAACTGAGTTTAAACTCGGAGTATATACTCGTGAGCATGAGTATGAAGTCGGGGGTCGTATTTTCGAATTTATTCGAGTACATTTCGTATACGAAATTTGATTGACAGCAATGTAAATTAAATGGGGACTATTCGAAATCGAATCAAATTTCGTATGCGAGAATATTCGAAAATACGACCCCTGAGCCTATACTCCATTTCGTAAGAATAAAAAAGATTTCGGTTTGATAAGTACATACTCCTAGTACATAGAGTAGATGTAGATACTCAAAATTTTATTTTGCTTGCCACCGTTCTTTTGCTTCTTTATCCTACTCACAATCTGATGTCCACAGGTACAGGTAAATTTATCACCTTTCCCTATCAAATAGCATTGAAAGGTGATAAATTTTACCTGTACCTGTGGACATCGGATTGTGAATGGATAATATTATATCCGCAGGACTGCGGGGAAATTTGTTCCACCGTTCACTTTGCTTATTTATCAGCTACTTCCGATACAACTTTAGACACCGAAGTTTGGTGAACACCGACATCCTCGCCTACTCCTGCCTGAAAGCCCGGGTCAGCCACGTATCCTAAAAATATTTTAACTTTGTCTTTGTTGCATAAAGCACCACCTCTTCTTTCTCCAGACTCTTCACCCAAAAATTGATTTGATGACCAACCACTCCACAATTTCTTTACTAAACGGGTACAACGTTTTAAAATCCCGATCACACGTATTTTTTCTAGCTTTGTAAAATTTCTCCGAACGCAGGTTAAGATTGAAGAACTCTGCCATAACTCTGCGTTCTACCGAGGGAAAATCGGTACTGAAATAACTTGAAGCAGAAAGTTGAGTCTACTGCATGGTAGACTCTAAAACTATGGAGTAGATTCTCCTGCCGAAGAGCACAAACAATTTTTTATTCATACCAGAAGTGAGAATCTACTCATACCAAATTATACATAGGAGTACCTACTCAAGCGAAATATCTGCTCGTAGTTTTTATTCATACCACGTGGGATATTTACTCCAAAATTTGGAGTAGAAACTAAATGCTCATTTTTATTCATACCACCCAATGTAACAGCCTGTAGCTAGCTTTTTGGTCAGAGTATCAATGTGTGCTTCAAATTTCAGTTGCGAGTCTATAGCAACCCTAAAAACTTTATGGTTGATTTGCTTTCCAGAGGCCTTCCTTGAAGTTTGACATTATCCAGGGAACACTTAAACATAAGTACATTTGTTTTTACCACATTAAAACACAGTTTGTTTGAGTCACACCAAGGCTTTTATTACCAAAAGATCCTGCTCAATGGTTGTTTTAAGCTGATCCAAATCTGAGTTTTTTCTGGTCCATAAACAATTTGCGTCATCAGCAAAGGCAGTGAGTTTAGCTGAGATCGGTAATGAAAGCAAATCATTAACATAAACAAGGAACAAAATTGGCCCCAGTACCGAACCCTGTGGGACCCCATGCTCAACCTCCATTCTCGCCGAGTCGGCACCATTCAGACGTACAAACTGGAACCTCCCCGAAAGCATCGAACCGAACCAATCCAAAGAAGTATTCCGGATGCCACAATAAAACAGTTCTCGCAGCAGTATTCTGTGGTTCACGCATTCAAAAGCCTTTGAGAAGTCACAGAATACCGCTGCAGCAACCTCGGATTCATTCAGACAAAGGTACAATTCCTCAAGAAATGAAAATGTGGCTTCGTTTGTTCCTTTTGACCTCTGAAACCCGAACTGGTTTTGGTTGAGGATGTTGTTTCTTGTTAAATAGCTTAGAAGCTGCTCCTTAACAATTTTTTCAATAATCTTTGACAGGGTACTCAGTAACGAAATAGGACGATAATTTGCTGGATTTGTGCCTACGCCTCCCTTAAAAATCGGTATCAAAGGGTAAATGGTTCCTCATTGATTAAGTTTGAAAAAGGTCATGTAACCTTTTTCCTAATAATGCACTTGCTTTTTGAGATACCTAATCAAGTTTCTATTTGAAATAATATTATGATTCAACATAGTCCTTGTCTACAATAGTTGCACTGGAAAAATAAGAAGTCCCTGTTTGCTTTGATACACAAAAATAGTTTATTTATATCGAAAACTGGTATCTTAAACCTATATAACATAAAAATATAATACATTTTCAACAAAGTAATACAATTTTGCTTGGTATTCTTTGAAAGGTAGGCTAGGAAGCAAATTATCACAAATATGGTTTATTGCCTGGTGTAATACAACAAGTCGACTACCTGTAACCTACAAGAATATAAAAGCAAAAGTAATTTTCATAAACCTAAAATGGTTGCCATAAAATATTGAGTTAGTTGACTTGCTTTTGAAGATTTGATATATTAGAAATAATTTGCTGATGGCATCATTTTTTCAACTCTTCCGCTTATGTGATTTCACTTGAAAAATCTGTAAATTGATAAAAATATAAAATATGTATTTCACACTGGCATCCTACTGCACATGTGGTAATGCATTAAACAGGGTGTACCATTTAGAAGGAAACAGGCTAAATATCTGATGCCATGTTTACTTTTAAAAAAATCGCTCGTACACATACTAATTTGATTTTCAAATATGGAAGTTTTCTCCAACCGTTTTCAGCACTTCCATTTTAACCCTCTAGGCGGGGTGGGACCAACCCTTACTACATATTTCAAATGGAACAAGGGGTCGAGTGATACCTCTTTTGAAAGAGCGTTCAATTCTCTTTCATTTGAAAGAAAACTGAAAGCTCTTTTAAAACAGGCTTTACTCGACCCCTTGTTCCATTTGGCATGGTAAGGGTTGGTTCAACCTCCCTTGGAGGGTTGAAGTGTAAGTGCTGAAAATGGTTTCAAAACACCTCCTCCTTTGAAAATCAAATTACGTGTACGAGCGATTAAAAAATAAAATAAATGTGACATCATATATGTATTTAGCCTGTTTCGTTTTAAATGGTATATCCTGTTTACTAGTATAGGGCTTTACAAACTTTAGGGCCATATTATTATAGCACACATCAAAATCAAGAAATTAAACATGCAAAATTCGTGATATACTGGATTTTTAATAAAATATGTAAAATCAGTTGTTTTACATCAATTGTAAAAATCTTGATTGTAAAACTAAACCAAAAAAAATTGAACTTATTTTAATCTAAGAAAGCCCTACACAAGTAGATCTGAATAAAAACCCAGTGAGCGAAAGGGTTAAAGTAGTTCTTAGAGACTACACAAGTCTTTAGGAAAAACAAAATATAATTTGTGAGTAGCTAGGCATTTATGGTCCTTAGTTTCTTACTCTAGTCAATAAAATGTTTAAAGTCGCCTTTTAACGACAATATAGGAAATTTCATAATTAAAAATAGCTTGCAACAAAATTATTTCAGTCAATCCCTGCATAATATTGCCAACAGTCCAAAATCCAATCAGCCTCAACAGGTCAATATGTCTGTTGTTTGTTATAGAGTGGGATATTCACTGGCAATATTCGAAATGTTTATTAGAGCACAACTAAAATTATTCCTCGTGTCGTTTAATATACTTTTTACCATTCCCGTGAAGAATCCTGTGTAATGCGGTTTTTCCGTATACCTAAAACCCATTGGTTTTTATTACTATAATACATTTAACTTAAGGAGGATCTCTTTTAGTGACAGTTGAGATCAAAATAGTGTGCTGATTCTCACATATTATTCAAGTATACCAAATAACATACCTTTCATAATGGTCCAACAAATCTTGCAATTTCAATGTTAAACTATCGTAATTTTTTTTAACAATATCTAAAATTTGCTCCTCTGTAGGGGTAGATAAATTGTTGGTAGCTAGCCACTGTTCAATTTTTGGGTTAAAATGCTTAATTATTGCTCGTACATTAAACAGGGCATTATTGAGCTTCAATGCGTCTTCTTTGAAATCACCTTCTCCCATTGAATATCTGAGAGCTAGAAAACAAAGTTCACATTTTTGCTGCTTAACTTGCAATTCCTTAATCTTACCCATAGAGTAAACATTATCAAACACTTGATGCATCCTTATAATTTCATAATAAAGTTCATCGTAACTACCAGGAGTCGGCAAAAAGTTATCACCGTAAGTGATAAAAAAGTTCAAAATATTCACTACTTTAATGGACAATTCAAAAATATTCATTTTCTTTCCCAAGTAATTTTCATTTTGCAAAATAAAACGTAACAATGAAATCAAAGCAGTCCACAATTCCTTCCAAATATAATTTACACGAATCCTACATTTCTTTTGATAGCAAAGTATCCGTTGTATTATACCGATGCATAAAATGTACAATTCCATTGGAAATTTCTTCATCATGTGACTCAGCATAAATTCTACCAGCAAATCCAAGAGGGTACAAACCAATGACTGACTAGAAGTAGTCTTATCGTTGGCCAGCTTTCTATGTCTCATTGGTAACCTATGCAATCGGACTTTAAATGCCAAACTAACATCGTGCATTAAGGAGTTAGCATATTGGTCTTCTGATATGCATCCAAGAATAAAGAAACATAGCTTCACTGTGTTGGTACCGGGTTCGCTTTTGGTATCTTGCATAACTATTGAGCTAGACAAAAAAAAAATATATTTTTCAATTTGACTAAGAAATTTGGGAAAAAACATGGGTTTGGGGTTTTGTCAAATATACACACAAGTATTAAATATTTGCAATGTTTCCTTACAATTCCATTTGTTTAGTGACAATGGCCAAATGTAAAATTCTGGAAAGCTTCTCTGTAATAATAATTTTTGGCCTACATTCTTCATTTCTCAGTTATTCTAAACTTTTTTAAGTTCCAACCTGTTTCATCACCAACTCAATAAAGTTACAAGAAAACAATGCATTTTTGGCTTATTTCCACCAATCATAATTACTTACCAATACTGGAAAAATGTTACCAGCAAATTCGAAGGCTGTGAATTCACATCAAAAGTTATTGATCCATTATTTGATAAGTCTGATAAACCTTGCACATTATTGTGTAAAGTATTATTGGGCGATGGAGGACTACTAGCGTCCGTTTGAGTTTGAGCCAAGGTGGTTATGAAGTTTCTGTTTAAATGTACTGCTTCATAAAAGGCAAGAAGCAACGCATTATTGGCCCTAAAATTAACCAAATAGTTTGAATTAATTAAGATACAAGACAGGTTACTTACCTAATTTGTTGATTCCTGAAGCCACCCTCTTCAGAAATAAACATGCTACCAACCATATTAGTTAAAGATGAAAACCAACTTGAATTCTGATTTTCAGTGTGTTCTAAATTATAATTATTACAAAATTCTGTCAGAGAAGCTGTAATAACTTGACCGTATCCATTTAAAGTCAACTCGTCGTCCAATATGGACAATTTCACAACATATGGGTTGGTAGCATCATACTTTCTATAGTTTACTAGCAATGTTATAATAAGTACAACATCGTAACCATGTTTTTGTCTTGTAGGCACATCTGAGAGTAGTTTTACTAGGCATTCAAAGAGTGGGGACAATATAATATACTCTATTAGTGTATTTTGATTTAGATTGTCTGAGCCTATAGTTAGGATAATTATTAGTTTTAGGCACAGGCCTTTCATGGCATCGGTGGAATCGCCTGGAAGGAATAAATGAGTTAGGTATTTTATATACATGGTTATAATGCCGTAAACTATAAGTTATGTCAAGAGTTATCCTTATCGCATAGGGTTTTACATGGGTTTTTCAGGATATCACGTGCATAGTGTCAACAAACAAAGCTACTTAGAAAACGATGACACTGTATATGATTGACCGACTCGTTGGTTGGCGATTCAGCGATAAACGAATATAAATAGTCGTCTGCAACACACAAGTAGTACCATTAAATTGATGGCTGAAGGCGCAAGGGTTATCAAATACGAATATAGGAAAAGTATTACATACATTGAATGTCAGAAGAACAGTATAACCACAACCTACGATCAAAAGGCACAAGCACGCCTAGAAAAAAAACCACTGTTCAAGCCAAGCCATAGAAGCACAGAAGAAGTCTCCATACCCTCTCAGACGCTAACAAGATCACCACCACAATCTCCAAGTTTACATTGCGAGCAAATCACGGAAATAATAGGAGGAAATCTATTACCACTCGGAATTGCATCAAAAAGTCAAGATAGAACAGTGAATCAACTAACAGACATGCCGACTGTACAAAGTCCCATCCTAACAGATAACAGCAAAATGGCCAATACAACTATCGTTGAAGACATGCAAACGAAGAAAAAAGCAGCGGTATCCCAATTTATAAACCATCCGACCTGTAAGGGTGGATTACAGAGCAGTGCGACATATTTTTTGAGGGCCTATGAAAGGACGACCATAGCAAACGGGTGGAATGACACTCAAAGTTACCTATTTTGAGACATTTCTAGACGGCGCAGCTAACCTGTGGTTTCAAGAATACAAAATAAATAATCTCGACAAAGAGTGGCAAGACATCATTAATGAGTTTACGAAGGAATTTAAAGATTCAGACTACCGAAAATCTCTGAAAAATAAAGTTGAAAATAGACAACGAACGTCTGACGAGACAGTCCTAGATTTTCTATGCGAACTAAGAATGCTGTACCACGATTATAAACAGACTATGGATATCTACGAATTTGTGACCATCTTTAGCGAAGGGCTGACAGAAGAAAATTTCTACCAGTACTACTTACTACTGGCTCACGAATCCACCAAATAAACTACGACAAAAAAACAGTGTTCCTTTTTGTAACAGAGACAATGCAGACAAAACCCACACCAAAAAACATGTATAAATGTTCGATAGCACTGAGAGAAAGCATAAAAGAGCAATCCTTCAAAAAACTGTTATTTCCTAGACAAGGATGGCGACTGGAAAAAGAATGGGAAAGATTCAAACAGATGCTGTATTTTGTGTTCAAAGACACGGGAGTCGAAGTCAGCATCCAGACTTCCGGAAGATGGAGTCAAAAATTGAAGATGAAATTAAGCCTCCAATGCAAATAGTCACGGACACCCAAGAAAAAGCACATAAAATAGGAGCCAAAACAAAAAATGACTACTTGATAACACAGAATGAGATAAAGATAATAGAAGTAGAAATCATGGGCAACACGGCAACCTAACCGAGACAGTGGGCTACAAATGTAAATATAATCTAAATTGACTGGAAAAAAATCGACTGACACTGAAAACACACATTTATACAGATGGGAAGAACCTCAATATAAAAGTACAATCCAAAATCCAAGATATCCAATAGCTTTATACGCAAGAACCACGATAGCATTTTTAGAGAAACCGGAATACGAAATCCCCGCCTATCACCAAGTAACACAGGAGGAAATCGTGGAACCGGAACAGGCAGAAGCAGTAACACTAGACGACCACAGCTTGGACAACATCACAAACGGCGAAATTTAATTGGCACTAGAAGAACTACTACTGGAGTATAACGACGTTTTTGCCAAATCAACAAAGCACATGGGAAAGACAAATCTGACAGAATTTAAAATAGAAGTAGGGAAAGCAAGTCCAATAAGAAGCCGAACTTACATAGTATCCTGGAAAGAAAGGCAAATAATCGACGAGCAAATAGAAGAAATGCTACAATGCTAGACAGCAATGCAATAAGGCCATGTCATTCACCGTGGGCTAGTAGGCTGGCCCTAGTAAAGAAAAAAGATGGGAAAATCCGTTTTTGTGTCGACTACCGAAAAGTTAATGCCGTAACAAAGAAATCATCACACTCTTTACAACCACGCTTTACAACAAATCGACGATATTCTGTCATATCTCGGAAATGCATCCTATTTCAGCACTCTTGATATGTTTTCTGGACACTGGCAGGTACCTGTCGAAGAAAGCTCCAAACAGTACACTATGCATTCGTAGCACAAGGTCACAAAGCCTACGAATTTAATGTTCTCAGCTTTGGATTATGTAACTCTCGAGTACACGGTTGAACACAAAAAAGGCTCAACCCACAAAGATGCTGATTGCATGTCCCTGGACCCAGTCTTGCAACCCGATTCACAGAAAAGCGAGGAACAAGAGGACACAACATTTGCGATTTGCAAAACCCAAAAAGGCCCCAGCAAGGTACTGGTGGTACCAAAATCAATGAGGGAGGAGATTCTGTGGGAACTGCACGCGTCACCGATATGCGGCAACTTAGGATTGAGCAAAACAACAGAGAAAATACAGAACAGGTTCTTCTGGGACGGAATGCTAAAAGACATTGAGATATACGTTAAAGGGTGTCCAGATTGTCAGGCGAGAAAGGGCCAACCATACAGAAAGACCTGGGGCCTCTTACAACCAATACAAGAAGGCACGATTTTTGACAAAATTGGCATTGATTTACTAGGTCCGTTCAGAAGAAACAACCAAGGAAAAACAATGACAGTAGTAAAGTGCGTTTTTTTTTTAAAGATAAAAGTCAAACTGACATTAGGTTGGCAATACAATGTAAAAGTGTCAATGCTTTCAAATTTTTCATGTAGAAAAGGCTTGTGTTGCCAACATAGTTAGTAAATTTTTGACTTGGGGAATTATCTTTAAAAAAAAAAAACAGATTTTAGTCACAGACTATGCATCAAGATACGCCATCACAGCAGCACTGCCTAATGGAAAAGCAGGACCACTAGCGAAATTTTTACTAGAGAAAGTATTTCTAATACACGGAATGCCGGGAATGCTACGACACGTACTGAGTCAAAAATTTAGTAACTATGTTGGCAACACAAACCTTTTCTACATAAAAAATTTGAAAGCATTGACAATTTTAGATTCTATTGCCAACATAATGTCATTTTGACTTTTATCTTTAAAAAAAAAACAGACTTTACCTGCAGAGGCAACTCTTATGGACGCTGAGGAAGAGGCTCTCTCCCGAACAGGGAAAAGGCACTTGATAAGAGCTATACTTAGCGGTGGAAAATATAAATAAGAGGCAAAGTATTTATCCTAATAAGAAAGGTTGGACGCAGTGAGAAGCTGCTTTTGAGATGGTTTGGACCATATAAAGTGATTAAAAAAATGAGAGAAGTAAATTATGAGGTAGAAAAAATTGGAAGCAAAAAGAAGAATAGAGATACGGTCCACGTAAGTAGGACGTTGCCTTACAACAACCCGTAGGCAGAAGGCGCTCCTATGGAAGGAGTCAATGGAGATTCAGAAGATGAGATAAATATGGAGAACAGTGCGTCGGAAGTAGAATCCGATAGTGATGAAGAAACAAGTTAGGAGAACATTAAGAAGCACAAGTAGCAGTGCAGTCCGAAGTCATTAGTATGTTCCCGATAAACATATGATCAAATAAACCAAAAAGAAGTATTATATATTGGATGAAGAAAGTGTAGATTCTTCGATTATATAAATATCATCCAATGTTATAAGTGTTATAAATTCGGTGATATAGCAGATCAATGTAGAAACAATAACATAGTATGTCCCAAATGTAGTGAAAATCATAAACTACAAAATTGTAAAAGTGAAAAACAAATTTGTGCTAAATGTAAACATGCTAGGAAAACTAAAAATTCCAAACATAGAATATAATAATATGGCATTTAACAGAGAGTGTGAAGCATACAAAAGAATATACCAGCAGTTGCAAATGAGAGTCGATTACCCAAATACATTTGGTTCACAAAGTACCTAAATATTGAAAGCCTCACAGCACATAGAATAGAGCTGGCATATGGATTGTAAATAAGTGGAAACCAATAATTGCTTTTTTAACGGAAACACATATAATAATGTTTATTTACAGAACCAGCCATTTACAAATATAAATTTTACAAATATAATGTAACAATATAAATTAAAACTAATTTAGCTAAAAATGATAATAACATATAAATAAACAAATAACTTAGGGCATACTAACATCACAGTAAAACAGTCTGTTTTTCATTGCAGTTTTTAGTTGAGGTAGACTAGAATTAAACATATCAACATCTGAACAATGAACATTACACAATTCACATGATCTATTTACAAACGATGATCTGCCATAGTTCGTTCTATGGTGTACAATCTTAAACAAGTCAAAACTACGGAGGCATCTCTGAGGTACATTTATCAGAATCGTACTCAATAAAGGTGAACAATCAATACTATAGTTTATAATCTTATAAATAGTGTTTATATCTATAAATTTTCGTCTCTGTTCTAAAGATGGAAGATTAAGCAATTTTTGAATATCCGAATAAATAATGTGATCCGATGGTATAGACATTTTATAGGCACAGAACCTCAAAAACTTACGTTGTACTCTCTCTAACCGATTAATGTGAATATTGTAGCAAGGTGACCAAACTTGGAATGCATATTCCAGCATTAGAACGGATGTAAGCACAAGATAAAGCTTTGAAACATGACAAATCAGAAAAATCCCTTAGCGTTCTCTTTAAAAATCCCAATGCTTTCAATGCTTTGTTAGTTATATAATCTATGTGGTTAGTAAATGTAAGTTCCTGATCAAAAATTACCCCTAGATCCTTTATAGTATTTACTTTTTCCAAGGGCACAGAGTTAGCCTTGTATTCAAAATTTATCAAATTTTTCTTCCTAGAAAATGATATTATTTTACATTTGGTAATG